TCCTTGGACTTGGTAGCTGATTTTCAGGCTCCCTGTCCGGAATCGGAAAATATCAATGGTCATTGAAACATTCAAAAAATATTTTTTTGTTGTGTTGTGTATTCTATAAAAATGAGGTAAGGATGACTCAAGAGAATGGGACAAGTTATGATTCTCTGACTTCACCTAGAACATGCTAATGTCACTCAAATGTATATGATATACAAACTAGATTGATTTTAAGGTTGAAAGTGGAGCCGATATTGAAAGCACCACAAAATGATATCAAAGTTGAATATATTCTTTAAAATTTTAATACAACCGTACTAACCTGAGTATTCCAAATTGTAAGAAGAATAAGGAACCCCATAACATATAAATCAATAGAAACGTTTTCGATAAAGCTCTCAATAGACTTGGTTTACAATTCTCAGATTTGGCTCGAATTATTTCCTCTTCCCAATTTTTCTCTAGCTTATCTCCCAAAATTTTCGATCCATCTGCATTTAACGGTTTATGTAAATCTATTACTTGCAGTCCTGTTTTGATGCATTTCCTGATAATTTCATTCATCCACCTAAAAATAGTTATTAGGTCGTACAATTTATCAGAATATATAGAAACTAGTAACCGTAACCGGCGCAGCACAGGCATGTATTCTTATTTTTTTTGTTATAGTGTCTCATTAAAGTAATGAAGTTTTCGAAATCACTCTACAATATGGAATATAGCGGAACATTTTGGACTGTTGTGGAATATTCTAGAAGGTTCGGGAAGATTCCTGTACATTCCAAGTTATTCGGGAACATTCCAAAATAGTCTCAAAGTTCATTCTTCCATTTCGACTAACTCAGAATCTCATATCAACTCTCAGTGCAAATCTGGGTGCCCCAGCTAGTAAATAATGATAAATGGCCTTTCAATAAACCAATCGAACAAATTCATGTTCACATCTATCAATATTAATTTAAAAAAAGGTAAGTACCTATCAACTGTGGTTAAAACAATCAAAAGACTATTTACAATATTTATAACTTAAGTTAATATTTAGGTTGGTAATGCAACATCTTTACATTATTACACTGTTG